GGATGTCAAGACATCTGATCTGACATAAACACACAGGAAAACAGTACTGAAAAAGATAAAGAACACACCATAATTGTTTACCCAGTTCAGTGTACAACAACACCTACTATGGGGGCTACCAAGCCAGGAATGAAGTCCACTATCAGTAGTATCAATTTGCAGACTCTACAGCCAACACACATGTTGATGATCTACGCACTTAATCACTACCCAATGACCCTTCTACCTAGGTCCTCCCTAGATATGGAATATCCCCATCCCACTTCCAATCATCGCAATAATGTCTAGCAGTCAACACCTCAGTCATTGCATCAACGACCCTTCACTAAGATTCTGATCACACAGACAGACAGTTTGGAAGACACACTTCCAAGACAACCTAGTTAAGTTACTAAGCCAAAATCCATTGTTTATTAGCTTTTGCTCCTAACTAAGAACACATCCTGGAGTTACCTCAAAGCTTCCTCCAAGAACAATACGCATCTTACCTACAGGCTTCGAGGTGAACATGATAACCTTCCCACAACCCATGAGGTTTACCTTGACAAAACCCTAGACTTCTACATCTTGAGCCGTATCTTTTCTAGGTTACAAATCCTTCTATTTATAACCTGTTACCCAACTGATTTTGGGTCTTCAATCACAATAAATCAGCTGTAACAAACTGCAGAAACTTCTACCCCAAGAAAGGTCTTCAATCTTTTCTTTCCTAAATAATCTCTTTATTTAGAAAGTCTCCATTCTCCTTGATTTCATATTATATTTTCTGGACCTTTAAATATGCGCCACATGGGATACATAATATTCTCCTGAATATTCTGCCAATGTTGAGAACAAACTAAATTTCATTAATCTAGCTCAGCAGGCGCGATGTCAAGACATTTTCTTTGACATGTTGTTCCAGTTGTTGAAAATGTTCAACACAACATGTTCTGATATTGTAATAGGACTTCTTGTTGTATTTGTTCTTCATTGCTGCTGTTATTTGTTTTACAAAAATTAAATCAATCCTAAAACAAGAGAACTAATAATTTTCTTACATGTGTGCCCTATTCTTTTTATGTGGTATGGATTGTTGTCTGAATAGGGATTGTTGTTATCCTTAATGTTGTTCATAACCATGGGGTTATTAACCAACCCCTTGTTATTGTTCTTATAAGTTTCCATCTCATGCTTTATCACGTTCTTTGCACGAGTTATACTTTCATCTATAGTAATAGATGTCCTTGTAAGTTATAGTCCACCATATACTATAAAGAGTGGCTATGACCAACTTTATGGTATTAATTTCCTTGGAAGTTATAGTCACCCAAATTCGTTCAGTGAAGAACTTATCCTAGACGTTTTAAAAATTTATATTCAACCTAGTCTCAAACCAAATTTGTTTTTTCCATTCACCCTTCATGAAAGTGTGATCAATGGCCTCCCCATGAATGAAACATCTGGGACAGAACAAAGGGAAATTCACCCCTCTTTTGTTCAAGTATATTCTAACTAGAACAACCTTGTTTAGGATCCTTCAAGTGAGAGTTTTCATTATATAGAAGCTATCATTAACTACACTAAGTATTTTTAAGTTTCTGGTTAGTCATTGTAACAACATAGATGGTATAATCCAAAACTATTAGTGGAGATTTAATAAAACCCTTCTAGCTAAACAAAGTGTGGAGGATTATCACTAATATATATATTAGAAACATTAGTAACAAATCTTTTCATTTTTTTTAAAAAAAGAGAGGATGCTAACATCAAAACATTAATATCAATTAAAATAATTAAATCTAACCATTCTAGAATTTTTTATTTTCATTTTATTTTAAAAAATTCATATTATATTATTATAAATATAATATTTAATTTTATAATTTAAGAAAATTGGTCGGCTTGTTTTGACTTTTTTTATGAATAACTTTTATAGTGTTACATAATTTTCTTCAAAAAAAATTTATAAAAAAACTTTTTATAAAAACATCAATTGAAATTTTAGTTTGAATAGTTATTTTTAAAATATTATTTTAAATATTTTATCTTTTTGTTCTTATTGAAACTTTTTTTTAATATCAAAATTTTAAAAAAATCAATTAATTTTGAAGTTTTTTGAAATAGATTTTCATAAAATTTATTTTTGAAATACAATTTTTAAAAAAAAAAATGAGATTTTGACTATGTATTAGTCTTCAATAATCTATATTTATGTTATATGATGTCAACATTAGTGTTTCAATTAAAAAAAAAATATAAAAGAATTTCTAATATTTTAAAAGATGATTTTCAAAAATCTATTTTCAAAAATACAAAGAAAGAATCTATATTTTTAAAGCTGAAACAAACAAACCTAATATTACCAATAAATTTTGTGCGTAAAGTGTCGAAATATTTGTTAACCGGGTAGACTTCTCTACTTTTATTTTTTTTTAGAATTTATTTAAAATATATATATTTTTCATATTTAAATATAAGACAAATGTAAGAAATGTTTTTGTTTTACTTTAATGAATTATCTATATAAACAACAATAAGGATTCTTCATTGTATTAAAAGTCATTTGTCTCTAATCTTCCTCGCTTCCTTTCACATTCTAATTGCACTATTCTCTTCAAGGTAATATGCAAATCTCTCTTCTTCATATCTATTTCTTTCCCCTGACTTTCACATTTTTATATTCTCTTATCAAAATAATATTTTCTTTTCTTTTTTTGGATTTTATTTTTGTCTTAGGGTGCTCCTTTGAAGAAAGTTATAACAAAGGTATCATCTTTTCATAAATCTACAATAACATCATCAAAACAAGTCATTAGATGAAATAATGATAGTTGATTTTTGAAAAATAATGGAAATTCTTCTATGTGGCTGTGTTCAATTTTCACAAAACATATTGAAAATTCGATGTGACATTTGTGTGTAGTTCTTTTTTCATTTCTTTTATGATATTTTTTTAAGATTTTCTTTTTCTTTTTAAAACTAGACATTTTGAGATTACTTTTGATTTCAAAGTTCATTTGAAAACATTAAGACTTATTATCTTAAAATAGGTTGACAAATAACCTTTACATTTATATAAAATTAAATGTTTTAATATTTATTTTTGTTTCAAATTAAAATTATAAAATAGATTAATTTTAATGCACTTTAGTTGCTAATTCTTTTTTACACAACCATTAAAGAAAAATAATATCCTTAAAGGCAATTTTAATTAAAGTTCGTATTTTAAATGATCAAACATCTCTTTTTAATAATATATCATAATTAGATATACACATAGCAAAAGTACATGTTATTTTTTATAAAAAAAAAAATACTAATTCTCTAAAAGTTTGTTTACATATTATTCTCTAATGTAAATATTTTGATGAAAGAAAAATTATTTTTTTACTATTAAATTATTTAAAAAAATAAATAATAAACAAATATAGAACTATGATTAATTATCTCTCTTACTTAATATTTTTATTATTAATTATAATTAATTATAATTTTGATCACTCTATTTTTATCTACCCACTAAATTGATCTCCATTACCTCTTTAGATTTCTAAACTCAATCTTAATAATATAGTATAATTTAAATGATATGACATAAGGTGTGATGACGTAGAACGTTAAAAAATTATAAAGTTAAAAGAAGATTTTATAAAAACTCCCTTTTGAATTTTAAAAATTATCAATTTTAAAAATTAATTGGTGACATGTAAATAAGTATTCCATTCGGATGATTATAATCATTAAATAAAATGTTATATCAATAAAAATATATTAAATCATTATTTATTAGTGAAAATTTGAGAAATAAATTAAATTGGAGTGATTTTAAAATGTGAGATGGTATGAGTCTTTTTCCGCTTAATTAGAGATCTTGAATTCGAATTAAGTAGGCGATTGAAATGATAATTCAATTTATTAATTAAGATATTCATGTTATTATTATTATATTTAAAAATAATCTAAAAAGTTAGGTTTTAAATTATATTTAATAAGTTAAAATAAAGCTAATTAATACTACTTTATGAAAAAGTTTATTTTTACTAATAAATAAAAAGAAATCCATAAATATAATTGATTTTTGTTTAATATTACTTGAATATTTATTTTTTTTAAAATATTTTACTTCTAAAATTATTTTTTTTAATTATTAAAATGATAAAATATATCTATATTATTATCATTATTATTATTATGGGACGTTATATTTATTAATTAAAAGTTTACTTCATTTATTTTCATGAATTTTTATTGATATTTATTGTTTTTATACTTTTTTATTTAATTTTGCAATTTTATAAAACTTGTAGTAATAATATGATTTTTTTTATTCTTCAAGTCATAATTATATATTACATATTAGTCTATTTAAAATAATAGAATAATATTAATATAATATATATTTTTATTCTTCAAGTTATAAGAACTCGCTAAAAAATTATTTTTAGTCAATTTAAATATAAATAATTTTTGTCGCTAGTTTTGGTTTGTGTATATTATTCTCTTTAAATTTTATTTATATTAAAGTTAATCTTTTAGTCATTGTTTTAAACAATTGAAATAGATATATTATACATATTATCATGGTCAACTATTCCAATACAAATAAATTTCATAGTAATTGAAAAAAAAAAAAACACCAAATACCAAAACAAAAATGTGGTAGTACATTAGTAAGAATTACAAACAGAAATATTTGAGGAATAAAAAAAACTACATATATATGAAAAAAAAATTATCTTTTAATATAGAGAACTTGTGGATTGTTTTATAGAGTTTATGGTTATCTTGTAAACAATTTTAATTAAAGTTGACCAAGTGCAGCCCTAGTAGTTAGAACTTGTAAGCTGTGTCCTATCATGTCCAACCTTGTTAAGGAAAATGAGGAATCTAAGGTATGTATTCTATGTTATTAAATTTATCCATTTAGGGTTATTAAATTTATCCAGTTAGAACTCATGTAGTAATATTATTACATGGTCATGCAAATGAAGAAGTATATGCTTTTTCTTTCCAAAACCATGTGCATTCAATTGATTTTAATTTTCTCTTTAAATGTTAAGAAAAAAGCATACCTCGTGTTTGAACTTGAGGATGGTACTGTTGAAGAGGTAGAGGAGGAGACTCTATTCAAAGAAGTAAGTCGTCGTATATTGGAAGAACAAACTCCTGAGGAGATTTCTAAGATTATTGATATGTGTAAAAATATCACAAAGGTATGTGGTCATATTATTTTCCAAAATTTTCTATGTTGTAGTTTTTTTTTATGTTCTAAAAGACGGTCATAATATATTAGTGCAATTGTTAAGGAATTTTTCTTCATGATTTTAAAGAGGAAGACTCTTCTAATTGATTTGTGGATGTTATTTATAGGAAAATTGCTTAGGGTTACATACGCCTTTTTTGATTGATTATTGGGTTGACAATATTCTCTTCAAGGATAGGTTTTTTAGATTGTGTTGAAATATTAAATTAGATTTGTTAAAATATTAGATTTAATATTTAAATATAATCTAAGTTGTGTTAGTTCAAACTCAATTAGAGTTGTATATAAATAGTCATAGTGTGTATCATTATTTGTACAATTTAATAATATAAATCTTTATTTCCTTTATTATTCTATCTTTCTCTCCTCACTAAAAGTGTCTCACGCACTAACAAATTGGTATCCAGAGCTTCCGGTTATTGTTCTTGATCATGTTTTCAAGAATTTTACGTCAGAGATCGTGTTTCTAGGACAAGTGAATCAACCGCTGCGAAGATGACTAGTGATAAGGGCATTCTGAGTTCTCTTCCAATGCTTGACGGTAAAAATTAGATCCGATGGAAAAAATAGATGCAATCCTTGTTTCGCTTCCATGAAACTCTAGAAGTGGTTACCGATGGCGTTCCTGCGTTAGCTGCAAATGCAACCGACGAATAGAAAAAAACCCACAACGAAGTCAAGAAGAAAGATTGCAAGGCTGCTTATTGCATTCAAACAGTTGTCGATGCTGTTAATTTCCACATAATCTCTCATGCTGAAACAGCGAAAGAGGCATGGGATATTCTAGTGAAGTATTACGAAGGAGGTGAGAAAGTCAAGGTTGTCAAATTATAAACCTTGCATCGACAATATGAGTTGTTGTCGATGGGAGAAGATGAAAAAGTTACAAAATATGTGTTGAAGGTTTAGAAACTCGTCCATCTCATGAAGGGTTATGGTGAAACCATTACTGATAAGATGATAGTTGAGAAGGTAATGAGAACGTTGACCTCTCACTTTGATCACGTTATCGTAGCTATTCAAGAATTCAACAATCTTGAAACCACTAAAGTGGAAGATTTAGTTGGTTCGTTGGAGGCGCATGAGATGAGGATTGTTGAAAGGAAAGGAGTTCAGGACTCGATACAGGCACTGCAAGCTCAGTCATGGAAAAAGGATGGTGGTTCCAACAAATTCAAAGGCAAGTTCGACAAGACTCATGGAAAGAACTCTTGGTCGAATCCCCATAAGAATAAGGTCGAAGATAGATCTTCTGAATCCTCGAAAAAGGGAGGAGGAAACTATCGAAAGGACAAAAAAGATAAGAAAGGTATGTAGTGTTATAACTGTGAAAAGTGGGGACACTTGGCCAAGAATTGTTAGTACAGAAAAGACAAGGGATTGACAGGCAAAGACGAAGGAGAGAACCTTGCACGCCAAGATTCAGATGACTCTAAAGGTGGTATGGTGGTTATGGCTGCAGTTGTAGATAACCATGTCGAATCTAAGATCTGGTTTCTCGACTCAGGCTGCTTGAACCACATGACTGGTCAAAAGGAGTGGTTGGCAGATTTTGACGAGTCAAAGAAGAGCAAGGTAAAACTTGCTGATAATAGTTCGTTGCAAGCAGAAGGTACTGGACACATAGTCTTTTAAATGAGTAATGGAGGGAAAGCTATGATCAAAGATGTGCTCTATGTACCTGGAATGAAATGCAACTTGCTAAGTGTTGGACAACTAGTCGAAAAAGGTTTCTCAGTTGTCGTGAAAGATGGAGTTTTGAAATTATTCGACACCAAGAACAATTTGGTCTTAAAATATCCATTGTCGGAGAATAGGACATTTAAAACTATGATCAGTTCTACATAAGTTCAATGTTTGAAAATTATTGTCGACCACAAGGATAGTTGGTTGTGGCATTTGATGTTTGGACATTTGAATTTTCGATCACTTAATCAACTGATTACTCAAGATGTGGTTACTGGTATTCCAATCCTTGAAATGCCTGAAAAACTTTGTGAAGGTTGTTTAGTGGGAAAGCAATCCAGAAATTCTTTCGTTTTGACTATGTCAATGAGATCATCCTGAATTCTCGAAGTGGTGCATTCAAATGTATGTGGTCCATTCGAAGAACATACAATTGGTAGAAACATATATTTTGTTTCGTTTGCCGACGAGTTTAGTCGAAAGATGTGGATCTATGTGATCAAATGAAAGGATGAAGTATTCAAAATTTTTAAGAGATTCAAGATACTTGTCAAAAACCAGAGTGAGAAGAAGATCAAAGTTTTGCGAACAGATGGAGGTGGTGAATACACATCCAAGATGTTTGAAGATTTCTGTGCAGAACATGGTGTTGATCATGAGGTAACTACTCCTTATACACCTCAACATAATGGAATTGCTGAAAGAAGAAACAGAACCATATTAGATATGGCGAGATGCATGCTGAAGCAAAAGAGTTTGCCAAAGTATTTATGGGGGGAAGTTGTTTCGACTGCAGTTTATATTTTGAATAAGTGTCCTACTAAGATATTGAAGAACAAGGTTCTTGAATAAGTGTGGAGTGGAAAACAACCATTCGTAAGTCATTTGAAGGTGTTTGGCTCTATGTGTTACAAGTATGTTCCTGATGCAAGGAGAAGGAAGCTTGATGACAAGAGTGAACCTATGATTCTGGTAGGATGTCATAAAACTGGTGTATACAAACTATTCAATCCAGTTAATGAGAAGATTGTGTTGAGTTGAGATATTATGATTAATGAAAATTTTGCCTGGGATTGGAATTCTATCAATCAATTAACAAGACATTAATGAACTTTGATTTCAACGAAGAAACTGATGAAGTAGAGGTCGAAGGAATTGTTGAGAATCCAGTCGAAGTCAAAGAAGAAGCAGTTACTGACACTCCCGACACAGTCGAAGTCGAAGAGGTTGTGGCTGAAACAAGCCAAAGACCTCAAAGAAATAGAGTTCTTCCAACAAGACTTCATGATTATGAGTGGTGGTGATGATGAAATCACACCAGATGGAGAATTAGTTCATTTTTATTTACTTGCAGGTGTTGAACCAATCAACTATAGGAAGCTTTGAAGATTAACAAGTGGAAGTTAGCTATGGTCAAAGAGTTACAAGCAATTGAAAGAAACAACACATGGAAGTTGGTCGAATTTCCAGCACATACGAAAGCTATCGAAGTAAAGTGGGTGTTCAAGTTGAAACACAATGCAAATGTGTCAATAGCAAGACATAAAGCAAGATTAGTAGCTCGAGGTTTTCCTCAAAGAGTAGAACTCGACTACTCTGAAGTATTTGTTCCAGTAACAAGATTAGAGACTATTCGACTAGTGGTAGCATTGGCATGCAACCAAGGCTGGTCGACATTCCATCTAGATGTGAAATCAGCATTTCTGAATGGTCCTTTAGACGAAGAAGTTTATGTCACACAACCTCATGGGTTTGTGATTCAGAAGGAAACGATTAAAGTATATAGATTGCACAAAGCGCTTGATGGCCTCAAGCAGGCACCTAGGGTATGGAACACGAAGATCGGCTCATACTTAGTCGAATTGGGATTTGTCAAATGAAAATCAGAGTATGGTGTATATGTTCAGGTTGTAGCACAAGATATAACAATCATCTGCTTGTATGTTGATGACTTTGTAGTAACTGGAAATAGTTTGGAGAACTTGTCAAAGTTTAAAGAGCTGATGACGAAGGAATTTGAAATGTCGGATCTAGGAAAATTATCTTATTTTCTAGGCATGGAATTTCAAATGTCAAAGCAAGGTATGATGCTACATCAAAGAAAGTATGTCAAAGAGATAATCAAGAGATTCAGAATGGATGATTCGAATCTTGCATCCTCACCTGTCGAACCAAATGTGAAGTTGCAGAAGAATGGAGAGGAAGACAAAGTCGATGCAACTTTGTTCAAGCAAATTATGGGATCTCTGAAGGATGTGTGCAACAATCGACCTGATATAGGTTTCGCAGTCGGATTAGTAAGCAGATATATGGGTGAACCAAGAGTGTCACATATGAAGGCTGCAAGAAGAATCCTAAGATAATTGAAGGGTTCAATAAATTGTGGAATACTATTTCGACGACATTCTGAAGGAAAAGAAACAATAGTTAATTGTTTTTCAGATGTTGATTGGTGTGAAGATAAGGAAGATCGAAGAAGCACAACTGGATATTTCTTTCAAGTATTTGGTGCCCCAATCTCATGGTGTTCGAAGAAGCAACCTGTAGTGGAATTGTCATCGTGTGAAGCTGAATATATAATAGGATCCTATGTTGTATGTCAAGCAATTTGGATCAGATCTGTACTTGAAGAAATGATTGTCAGAGTGGAGAAACCTCTAGTATTGCAAATCGACAACAAGTCGGTCATAAATCTGGGGAAGAATTCAGTTCTACATGGAAGAAGTAGACATATTGAAGCAAGATTTCACTTCTTAAGGGAAAAAGTAAATCAAGGTGGACTTGAAGTTAGGCATTGCTCAAGTGAAGCACAATTGGCCGACATTTTCACCAAAGGATCGACAAATTCCTGAATTTGAGAAAAAAATTAGGAATAGTTCAGATACTATTTTTGAGGATGTTCGACAACTTGGATTGTAGGGGTGTGTTGAAATATTAAATTAGATTTGTTAAAATATTAGATTTGATTAGATTTAATATTTAAATATAGTCCAAGTTGTGTTAGTTCAAATCCAATTAGAGTTGTATATAAATAGTCATAGTGTGTATCATTATTTGTACAATTTAATAATGTAAATCCTTATTTCATTTATTATTCTCTCTTTCTCTCCTCACTAAAAGTGTCTCACGCACTAACAGATTGTTCTAGATCGCTAATTATCTTGGAGAGAGTGTGGAGAGGTTGGTAGTTGGGTTGACATGAATCTCATTTGAGACTTTAGATGGAGAATGTCTTTCTTTATTCATCTTTTGAACCCTTCAAATGCTCTGAATCTTTCCTCTTCTATTGGATTTTCTCCTCTTCCTCTTATTTGAGGAAACTAGACTCTTTTGAAAGGTCATTGTTTTCTCCTAACAGCTTCTATTGGATAAGTTTCTTTGTAGAGAGAACTTATTCAAGATAAAAAAAATAATTGTCGATCCTGTTTTTATTGTTTGTTCTCTAAAATATTAATCAGGAACTCTAGCACATTTAGAAACATATTGACTTCATAATGTTATCCTTTGAATTAGTTAATATTAGATCGAGATTTTAATCTTGTTTAGAGTGATTGTGATCCTTCTTTCTTTGGTGGTTTCTGATCATGCAGTGGTGGTCATATTGTCTTATGATCAGTGCTTCTCTTCTTTAATATAGTTCTTTGTGGGTGGTGCTTTTTTTAATTATTTTTTTTTTGTAAATAAGACTTTTTAGTCTTTGGTAGGTAGTTTTTTTATTTTTAATTTGTTGCCTCGTTTTTTTTTTTGTAACTGTTGGTACTATTAATGCCAATTGTTTGCTCAATTGTATTTTGGTTGAATATTTTTTAATTGTTATTATTATTTTGTCTTAAAAAAATAGTTGTTGGTTGACTTAATTTTTTGTGAGTTTTTTGCAGGAGGAAAAATTGGAACCGGACGTAAACAAAATTATTGATGATCCACGTATGCGACTTCTTACTAAGTTACATGCTAAGAAATTGAATGAACTGAAGAAGAAATTTAAGGTATGATATATTGCAATGGTATGCAACCTATTAATAAAAAATAATATTTTTTCTTAACTTTTTTATATAAATAATTAAAATTAGCTTCATGCGTCTAAGGATGATGAAGTAGTAAAAGAATCAAAGGAAGAACCTTCAGTTGATGAGTTGCTTTCATTTATTAATGGCAATGAAGGAGGAGGTACATTTTTTTTTTTAAATAAGTACTACATTTAAAAAAAATAATGAATTTGAGATGAAAGATTCAATCATTTTGTGATGTGATTTGATAGATACAAAAGAGGCTAGAAAAAACAAGAAGAAAAAGAAGAACAAAAGAAGGAAAGAAAATACAAAATCTCATTCTTCAAAGAATGCAAATGAAGATTATAATGAGGTTAGACTCTACAAATATTTTTTTTTTCCATTCTCATGCCTTAATTAAATAACCATTATTTATTGGTTTTGATATTAAATTTTGTTTTTAAGGTATTATATTTTTTCATTGAATTTCTTAATTTCATGATGATATTTTTTATTATGCCTTATAGAGTTCTACTTCTCAAGATCATGCTACCAGTCCCAAGGAGGAACTTAGTGAAGATGATCTTGATCCTGTATTGAAGGAAAAGCTTGATAGGTTAGATACTTTTTTTTTTTGTTTTACTTTCTTTAACAACTTGAAAATTTGCTTAAACCTATGGATTTTTAATATGAATCTTACAAAAAAAATTATGAATGAACGTTTATATGTCTACTAAAATTATGAAAATGATAATTACTTTAATATTTATTCTCTTTAATTTGTGTTAGTTGATTATATTTATTTTTATACAGGGAGGTGGAAGAATTTGCAAGAATATTAAACTTAGGTTGGTCTGAAAGGGTAAAAATGTTTACTTAATTTGGGACAAAATAAAAGAACTGTACCAGTATCTATGAATAACATGTTGTAAATTTCTACAACATAACAATGGTACAATCTGTAAATTAAAATAAGGGATAGCTACTTAGAGTTTGGTGTTTCCTGAATATCTCTTGAGTGTGATAGTTTCTTTGTAACTTGCAATTAAATTGTCAAAAAAAATTTTATAATTTTTTTATTAAAATTGAGTATAAGAGATTTCAATAAATTATTCAACCGTTTGAAATATTTTGCAAATAAATCAAGGCATTTCTGACTACAAAACAAAGGTTTGATCAAATATTATTAAAAAAATATCGTTTCTAAGTCAAAATGATGTTCTTATAAGTTTTTCATGTTAACTGACATATTTAAAGAAAAACCAAATTATTATATGACTTTCAGATAAATCAAATCACAAACTGACAAGTTTAGAGATGGCAAAAAATTTTTTTTGTATCCGTAGATATTTATTGATAAAATCTATTACGAATACGAGACTTATAACTTAATAAATATTTGTAGATAAAATAAATAGATATTAAAATATTTGTTTATTAATAGATATGAATATGAATTTAATATTACCCGTGTCCACGGGTATCCGTATCTATTGATAAATTCTTAAAATTATATAAATATTATTAGTTTATTATAATATATCTTTTCATCTTCTAACAAAATAATCTCCTCATTTTTTCTTAAGTTTTCTTTGAAGAAAACATTTATATTTCATATAAATCCTATTCATCATTTTATATTTAAGTTTTTTTATATATTTCATACCTCATTTCAACACTTCAAATGTCCAATCAATCAATACCGTTATTTTCTTGTTCAACCAGTGTCATCCTTTCAACAATTTATTTTGTTAAAAATCAAATGTATGAATATTATGCTATGATAAAAATGAAGAAAATTAATGTCATAATTTTTTTTTTGTAAGTACGAAGTGCGCCTAAGAGGGGGGGGGGGGGGGGGGGGGGGGGGGGGGGGGAGTTAGGGGGGTGAATTAAGAACAATCCTCTTGGATTTTCACTATGTCAACAATGAGAACAATCCTCTCAAAGTGACTTCACTTGTATCCAACAATCCTGGTTAACAATATGTGAAAGTGTGCAAAAAACTTGTGTATGAAAATGTATAGCAGCTTGAGTTTGATTTTTCAAAACTCAGAAAATATAATTGGAAGAGGTGTTGAAATGATTTTGAAAATGAGTATTTATATGTTCATAGCACCTTTTTGAAACATCATAAAGTTCTGTACGAAGTGCGCCTAAGAGGGGGGGGGGGGGGGGGGTGAATTAAGTACTTTAAAAAATTCTGGTTTTAGTGATGTGCAAAGCTGCTGTTTTTCAAAATCAGGCAGCATGCAATCGATTGCATCCTTTGTGTAAATCAATTGCACGAGGTTTCAACAGCTAGAATTTCAAATATTTTGAGTATGCAGTCGATTGCACACGAGTGTAAATCGATTGCATGTGAAGTCAGTAGCAAAAATTGATTGAGTGCGATCGATTGCACAAACATGCAAATCGATTGTACTTAGAAACAGTAGCAAATGTTTTGAAAGATTGAAGCATGCAATCAATTGCACTAATATGCAAATCGATTGCACTCAAGTGAAAAATGATTTTTAGCTTAGAAAAACTCGAGTAAGGATTTGGACAATATAAAATATTTCTTTTGACCATTGAGCATCTATGTCTTAAGTTCAAAGTAAGTATTATCATTATACCTTAAAATTTTGCTAAGTGCTTGAACCAATGACTTTATTCACATATGCTTTTAGCTTGATCAATAATCTTTGCCTTCTTTGTCAATCATAGTTTGTCTTCATCAAAACAAAATTGCATTTGAGAAGCTTGATTTTATATTCTCCCCCTTTTTGATGATGACAAACGATCTTGCTTGATGCATTGTAATTTCCGAAAAGAGCTTCTCCCCCTAAGATGCATAACTCCCCCTTTGTATAAGAAGGTTGGAATCCTTTGAATTTGTTCATCTTAGTTGAAGAGTGCCTTAAAAATTTAAGACAAGGAAATATACAAGCATAAAGTACCACATCCTTCTCCCCCTTTGACATTATCAAAAAGAAGGGAAAGATGCCAAAAAAAAAGGACAGTAATAAAGCAATATTGAAAAAAAAGAAAAAACTTAATTATTCATGCATCACAAATAGTCATAGACAAGGTAACATAACGATTACAAAGAAATTTAACAACAAATAAAACGTAGCATAACTGAACAAAGACATAACAAAAAACAGTAGACATAATAAAGTTGGACATAACTTTATGGTTGATTCATGTCCCGGTTGTTATAGAACCAAGATCCTTGATTTGGAAATTATTGTAGAGGAGGTTCTGTGTAATGTTGTGGAGGTGCAACTGAATTATTTGGGTCATATGGTGGAATGTGAAGATGAGAGTAAAGGTAAGAGAATTATTGATTCGCATCTGTGCGGAAGTCATTAATCCGGGTTGTTATAGAATTGTTGATAGCATTCCATTGGGTGTTGATGTTGGTGTTCATGGAAGCAAATTGTTGAGAAATGAAATCCATAAGATCTTGATTGCTTGGCCCAGAGGGAGCGGTAGGTGGAGGAGGTACAGCTTCACCACCTTCAACTTCTTGATCGTTTCCTTCATCACCGACCACATCTTCACCAATGTAAGTTATAGTTTTTGTTTCCGGATTATAATGAACACCCATTCTTGAGTCAACATTATTTATTGAAATATTATGCAGATTTGGATCCATATTGACCTTCTCAAACCCAGCAAAATCAACTCCAAATTCTTCCATAATTAATTTAACAAAGTAAGCATATGGTAGAAATTTTGATTTTGCATCAACTCTCAGCATATGAACCATTATGAGCCTTGCCCAATTAACACTTATACCTTTCTTTCTTGCATAGATCAGCTGCATTTCCAGGTCTGTCACGGTGCAGTGGTTTCCATCCCGCGGAAACATAATATAGACCATAAAGTAATTAAATAGTTGATCGTCTATATAAAAGTTACCTGCACTTCATGAGTCTCTAGAGGGAATCACTCCGCCTAGACCACGAATCCTTTTGGCACGGAATTCAGCTTCGCTTAATCTCCCAATGCTGTAATAAAATTCCTTTTTCCTGTAGTCATCCCATGCTTCGTTTTCAGGGTCGTACAAAGAGCTACCAGTGTAGGGAATATGTAGAATCTCACCAACAATCTCAGGGGTTAGAGATATTCGAGTACCCAACACATATGACACCATCTTGCCTTTGTGAGGAGTTAAATTGCTAAGAAATACTCTTACCAGATCTGGATAATATGGACCAAATGATGAAATTAATGGTTCTAGTCCATAAGCAGTTAAATCATTTTGAAAAGAGAAACATTCCTGGGGAAAGTATGTTATCATACCATATTTAGGATTAGACACTATCTTTCTTTGAAAATCCTTTGTGAACCTTGCTTCTTGTTCTTCGGTGAGAGATGAAATTAATGGATTCTCAAAGGATGAACCAACCTTTTTCTTCCCTTTCTCTGAAGCTGACACCTTTCGTTTTTGCCTTGAAGCCATGGATAAGGTGTTTTTAGGGTTTTGAAGGTTTTAGGTTTTCGAGAGAAGGGTGTATGATGAGCTGAAGTTTGGATATGATTTATGAGTAGATAGAAATGAGTGGGTTGTATTATATGTAATGAAGTTTAATTGGCTTAGGAATATGAGAGAGAGAGAGAGAGTAATTATGACCAACAAATATTTCTGTCATAAAAGCATATTACAGTGGGTTCAATCGATTTGCATACAGATGCAATTGATTTGCACATAAAACAGAAGCAAAATAAAACTGAAACGCACAGAGTGCAATCGATTTGCACTTATGGTGCAATCGATTTGCACTAAAACAGAAAGGTCAAAATTAAAAACACTCAGTGAGCAATCGATTTACACTATTATGCAATCGATTTGCATCAACCAAAAATGACCAAAAACATATTTTTCTTAAACTTAAACACCACTTAACATATATATTCACATATAGCACGGTTAAAACAAATATATAAAATCATAACAAGGATAGAAATCACCTTATATCTCGAGTTCATCAAGAATGCCAAGCTCTCATCTAATCTTGTAAAATGGTTCTCTTGCCAAAGGTTTAGTGAAGATATCGGCAAGTTGATTATGAGTATCTACAAATGTCACCTCCACATCTCCTTGAAGTACATGATCACAAAGGAAATGATTTCGTATATCTATGTGTTTGGTTCTTGAATGCATGACCGAATTATTCGTAATGTTTATTGAACTTGTATTGTCACACCTTAGAGGAATGTATCCTAGATCGAGTCCGTAGTCACGAAGTTGTTGTTGGAGCCACAAAATTTGAGCGCAACTACTACTCGCTGCAATATATTCTGCTTCGGTCGTGCTAAGAGCAACGCATGCTTGTTTCTTGCAGGCCCATGATACTAATGCATTTCCAAGGATGTGACAAGTACCACTTGTGCTTTTTCTATCAGTTTTACAACCTGCATAATCCGCGTCAGAATAACCAACTAAGTTGCAAAAACTACCTTTAGGATACCATAATCCGACATTTGTTGTCCCTTTGAGATACTTCATGATCCTTTTCATCACCGTGAGATGAGATTCCTTTGGATTTTCTTGAAAGCGAGCACATAGACAAACACTAAACATTATGCCAGGACGGCTTGCCGTCAAATATAATAAGGAGCCAATCATACCTTGATACTTTGTAATGTCGATGGAAACACCTGATTCATCTTGATCAACATATGTACGGGAACCCATTGGTGTAGACATTGCCTTACAGTTATCCATGTCAAATATTTTCAAGAGTTCCTTGCAATACTTAGATTGGTTGATGAAGATGCCATTTTTTAATTGTTTGATTTGAAGTCCAAGAAAATAATTGACATCTCAAATTCTCCTTGCATCATTGCTGAAAATTCTTCACACATTTCTTAGTTTGAAGATCCGAA